GGGACAAAGGTTTAAAAATAATATCAGGAAGTATTACTTTACTGAGAGGGTAGTGGATGCATGGAATAGCCCTCCAGCTGAAGTGGTAGAGGTTAACACAGTAAAGGAGTTTAAGCATGCGTGGGATAGGCATAAGGCTATCCTAACTAAAAGATAAGGCTAGGGACTAATGAAAGTATTTAGAAAATTGGGCAGACTAGATGGGCCGAATGGTTCTTATCTGCCGTCACATTCTATGTTTCTATGTTTCTATGTTTCTTTGATGCTGGATGATATACAGTCAAAAATACATTAGAAAGATACTCGCCACTACTACACCAAGACGAGCATTTAAGGGAAGTTTTAACATCTCATGTTGCCATGACAGCCAGATGTGGATGTAACTTAAACAACATTTTGGTCCCTAATCACCTCTCCTGCAAATAAAGCAAACTGGCTTAAAACGCCCGCGTGTGCCAATGCGGGCATTGTAAAGCATGTAAATATATTCGCAGACACTCCAAAACCTTCTCAAATTCAAGTGAAAATGAAACTTTTATGACAAATGTAACGGCTACCCAGCTGTAGAGGGGTATCTGCCGTTGGAGATGTCCTTTTCTGTGCAAGCTGCTGTGTAGTAATGGAGTCCTTGTTCCCATCCACGATATCCCAGGGTATAATCCGGCAGTACTGTAAAATGAGGCAGAGTAACGGTACCATAAATCCCCTCCAAGAACGAGACGAGGCTACGTTTTGAAGGGTCAAGTAGAACTAACTTTTAATGACAGGGGATCTCTTTTTATGCAATGGTGCCCTCTGAGAGGCTACACCCACATAATTAGTAACACAGCCAATTACACACATGGTTCAACCCCCACGTCTCCTCCCCCCAGATAACATGTAACATAATTAAAACAGACATAAATTTACCCACATTCTGGATGTACCCCAAAAACAGGGGGTACACCTTAATAGCTACCACTCAGGTGAATAACATATCCAAATTTCAAGTCATTCGGTTGTGGGGTTCGGGAGTTATGGGTCTTTGAAGTTTTGACCGACCGCACAGGATTTTCAGCCGAAAAGAGTTCCACAAGTTTTGGCCTTGCGGTCGGTCCCTGTTCGTGAATAAAAACCCCACGAACCCCTTGCCCTCCACAGTAATCCTGCCGTTCGCCTGAATCCCCATGCATGCTTAAACAAAACTACCGAACGGCCGGTCGTTGTGTGGTTTCAGCACGAACTTACGAGCTCCTGGAGGTCTCAGCGGTGTTCGCCTGTTTGCGTATCCGTTTTTAGTTCCATGCGCTCACAGGCAAACACCGCCGTTCGTGCGTAAGATGGCCGCGAACACGTGTAAAGTCCCGAAATGGCGGCCACCTATTCTGAGACAAAGGGATTCGTCTGAACCATGCGAACGGCTCCACAATCACTGGGAGGTAAAATAGTAATTAACTGTTCCCCTGGGTGGTCTGATGTTCGGTATTTTGGGTATCAATAGTTATACGAACACCAGTCATTCGGTTCTGTTTAAACTCCACAGCAGCACTGTAGATTAAGTTCAGGCAAAACAATACAGGGTTCTGTTACAACAAACTTTCTTCAACTGCCAAACCTCAGGAATAGTTTACGTTTTGACCTGTAGTTGTAACTTAAAATACGTGGGAAAAACAAGCAGAGCGTTTAAAAAGCGAATTTTAGAACATGTTAATTTGATTAACCCTTCCAGACTTATTGACACCCCAATGTCCAAACATCTAAAGCTACAACATGGAGGCTCCTCCCAAGGGCTTCGTTTCAGTGGAATAGAAAAATTAAACCTGGGCCCAAGGAAAGGCGACCTGGATAAGAAACTACTCCAGAGAGAATGTTTCTGGATTTACAAATTAAAAACATTATCTCCGTCTGGATTAAATGAAGGATTTTCATACACTTCATTTATATCTGATTAAACATTTGCCCTATAACTTATAATGCACTTTTTTTAATATAAATATGGATATACCACCATTAAATGAATGTACAGCACTTCTTTATAATCAAAACAACTTTATAATTTTCCCTCTGTAAATCCACCCCTTTTCACTTTTAGACCTGATTTATTTATCTCCATTGGACATATAACTGTACATCTACTAAATATACGATCATTAAGACGTTGGCTTACATCTAAGACTGACATCACCCATAGATTAGCCCTCTCTATCAAAATATATATCTAGACACATTTCTCCCCTATATTTTGACAACCTCAAGACTCAGCCCAGTATATCGCTGAACTTTTTGCTGTATTGGTTTAATAATAAAATTGATACAGAAGGGCTTAGTAGCCCCCATAGTTTGAAAAAAACATCTATCTAAACATTAAATGACCACTATAGTGCCACTATAGGGCTCTGGGGAGAGGAAAGGGGTTATACTTACCTTTATTCCAGCGCCGGGCGGTGAGCTCTCCTCCTTCTCTCCGCCTCTGATCCTCCTCTTCGGCTGAATGCGCATGTGCGGCAGGAGCTGCGCACGAATTCAGCTGGTCTCATAGGAAAGCATTTACAATGCTTTCCTATGGACGCTTGCGTCTTCTCACTGTGATTTTCACAGTGAGAAGCACGCAAGCGCCTCTAGTGGCTGTCAATGAGACAACCACTAGAGGATTTGGAGGCTGAATTAACCCTATTATAAACATAGCAGTTTCTCTGAAACTGCTATGTTTATAAAAAAAGGGTTAATCCTAGAGGGACCTGGCACCCAGACCACTTCATTAAGCTGAAGTGATCTGGGTGCCTAGAGTGGTCCTTTAAACATATAGATTAAGGTATAGTTAATAGACGTTCACACAGTATATCCCTAAATGGGGTTAATTCCATCAAATAAATAGACCTGTATTATAGATAAGACTGTAAAGATAGGCTGTTTTAACCACTTATTAGATATAAGACAGAGGGGGTTACTTTCTTCAGCAAATAGATAGACACCCTAGAGAAGATTCTAATGAGATGACGACCTAATAGTACACTAGACATACCAAACCTTATACGATGGGTTGTTATACTTTTAGTTTGGCATCCTAGATATAGGTGCAAACAAGACATAGTTTCAAATGCACATTGGACATTGCATTGAAAGGGTTAATCCTCTCAAGTGAGTCACATATGACGATCTGTCCTCAGATTGGAGCTTACAAAAGAGGTACTTTGCATAATCAATTGCTCTACTATTCAGGACACACCCTTTAATGATGTGGCACTACCAGATTGTCTTACCATCCGGTTTCCACGTAGGATGATATGGTCAGTTCACTCTTGACCCCTGACGAAGGTGCACATGTCCGTGCACCGAAACGTGCGTCAGGCATTCTTTCTTTTCTCACAGGGCACTTAAGCACTTGGAACACAATGGTGCAGCTTAAGCAGCATGGTTTTGATATATTAGCACTTTTTAAAGTTTTATTTTCTATTTCTTTTTCCTCTGACTATTCAGTTAGATTAACAGGTAGAGAGGCTTTATCTATATCTAATTCTGTCTGTTTTTTTTTCAATAATCCTTATTACAAGCTGCATTATTTTGTGCTCTTCTTGAGCCAATATATATATCACTTTGTATCAGCTATACCGATTGGCAACATTACTTACATTCAGCAACTTTAATTACGCCCTCTCCCTTTATCTTTGATCTAATTTAATTACATTTAACTTGTATCGGATTCCCCTACAGAGGCATACCTGAATAAAGCTTGATAAGATAGGAGAATTGGATCTAATGGAGCTAATTTTTATAGTCAGAGACTTAGCCGAAAGGGCTTTGGATTACAAATCTGACCACAACCACTTTGTGGTGAAGTGTTTCACATTCAGTATATACACTCTATTTCCAGATAGCACCTACATACAGAGTGTCCTCTCTGGTGGGAGTTATAATTTTATTTCATTGATGAATAGGGGTTAAGCCCCGAGACACTACTGGAGAGTCTTTTTGGTGCTCTACTTTCAGAGTGGGAGATTCTCCAAGTGCAGACCTCCCTACTCTGAACAACCCTTTATATACATTTTGGAGTTAAATCACTTTTGTTTCTGTTTGTGCAGCCCTAGCCGCACCTCCCCTGGCTGGGACTGACACAGCCTGCATGATAACAAAATGGTTTAATTTTCAATCAGATGTAGCTTACTTTATACATTTTATCTCCTGCTCTGTAAATTGAACTTTAATTACATACAGTAAACTCCTGCAGGGTTATGCAAGCTATTCACAGAGCAGGAGATAAGACATTCTAAATTAGACAGAATTTGCAATAAAGGAAGTGTAAACATTAGATGACTCTTCATAGGAAGTGTTTAGGAAGGCTGTGTAAGTCACATACAGGGAGTTATGTCCAGGGTTGCATAAACAAAGTGATTTAACTCCTAAATGGCAGAGAATTGAACAGTGAAACTGCAAGATCTATACACCAAAACTGCTTCATTAAGCTAAAGTTGTTTTGGTGACTATAATGTCCCTTTGAAAATAGTTTTGTGGAGACAGTTGTCTTTTAAATCAACTCTTTTTCCCGCAATCCACAGTAACACAAACACTATGTGTGAGAACATCTTAGAATGCAGTTAAACTGCACTAGTAGAGAGACAGAAATAACAAGAGTTTAAATAAATAATTTCAGAATTGCTAAAACTGTCATTTTCTCCTAGCCTAACCTACTGTGACGAAACGCTGTCTTTCCCTCCCCTTTGTGTGATGCAAGCACAGATCGCACAAACTGAATGAACAAATGGCTCATGGAAGAATATTGTTCGTTACACCACTAGATTATTTGCTCCATTCTTCCATTTTGCCATTCAGAATGTAGACGAATTGCCAAATCATCAGATTTTCATCTATATTATTCTTTTTTGCCAAAATGAGCGGACATATTGTGATTTTAAATCTACGTTTAGTGATGTCCCGAACAGTTCACCACGGATGGCGAACATATGCGCTGTTCGGTCCGCCCCCTATGTCATCATTGAGTAAACTTTGACCCTGTACCTCACAGTCAGCAGGCACATTCCAGCCAATCAGCAGAAGACCCTCCCTCCCAGACCCTCCCACCTCCTGGACAGCATTCATTTTACATTCATTGTGAAGCTGCATTCTTAGTGAGCTGTCCAGGAGGTGGGAGGGTCTGGGAGGGAGGGTCTGCTGCTGATTGGCTGGAATGTGTCTGCTGACTGTGAGGTACAGGGTCAAAGTTTACTCAATGATGACGAATAGGGGGTGGACCGAACAGTGCATATGTTCGCCATCCGGCGAACCGTTCGGGACATCACTATCTACGTTTACTGTTACCCATATGTTCAGCAATCCTAGATTTTTGTTGTTGTTTTTTTTTTGTTTTTTTTTTTTATTCTTTATTTTTCTTGTGCATATGATGACAACAAGCATGCAGAGCCACAACAGCATCTACATGCGTTTTCAAGACATTTCAAAAGTGTGGCAGTTTGATCGGCACATTTTTTACAAACTGGAAATGAATTATGTAACATTGTTCTCAGGTCTCCACATCTTACTGTTAAGTGAATATATTCCCAGATGACTCCCTGCTAGGAGTAAAATTTGCTAAAAAAACCCCAACAATTCCAGAAGTCTATCTAGGTACAAAACAGCAAGGTAAATAGTGCCTAAGATTGTGTTACGATGCAAAAACAGTTACAATATCACCTGGCCTCATGCAATGTCAGCCATATTGCAATGCCAATTCTGAGTTGACAAAATTAGATTATTTTATATCTGGATAAAAGAAAAATGAGTTAGTAAGAGAACCTGGTTTTCGAATGATTGATTGCAATCTTGTGTTAATGGAAAATGGGTCAATCAAGGAAAAGATCAATGGGCAATTGACCACCCACTCACCCCTTCCACCATAATAAGAACAAAACTGTCAAACTCATCCAATGTACAGCATCAGTGCCCTATCAGCTATCCCCAACTGTGTCTGCAAAGCAAACACTGCACGACTCAAGACATTGGTAAAAAGAGGAAGCATCAGGAGGAGTAATTTAATTATTTTACACCACCACCGCATGTTAGGATAATTTATTTGCACAATGAGTTATAAAAAGACACCACACTCAATATAGGCAGAAACTGCAGCTACGCATTGTGTTTATTACTAAAGAAAGAATATTGCAATTATCAAAGCACAAGCAGTGGCAAATCAAAAAATCCATCTCTTATTAGAAATCAAATTAAAAAAACTAGTGAATGATATTCGATGCAAGTGGCACTTGAAGACGTAGCTAGGCCAGATTAAATTTTTTTAATCCCTTTTTTAATTTGCTGGATGATGAAGGGTTCAACTGTTCCTGTGAACCTGATTATGCTGGCTACTGGCACTATCCTCATCATCCCCACTGCCCTGCCTAGGGGTGGTGGTAGTAGTGGAGGAGGTAGGGCTGGTGATAGGTTGCAACAACTGCCAAGAATCCAATACAGCACCAGTACACCTGCTGTCTGCACTACTACTCAGAGCCGGACTTATCATTAGGTAGAGTAGGGTCCTGCCTACAGGCACTGTGAAGAAACTACCCCTGTTATTTTGGTACTTTCATTTTTTTTCTGTTCGGTAGATAAAACTACCGAACACCGACCGTCCCCCTGGCTCATTTACTTCAAAGCAAACTGTCAATTCAGTGCTCTCCCTGTGTGGCCGCCGTTCTTACCTTCTGGACCTGAGAGCCAATGGACTTACAGAATGTATTTTGTCACTGTCTCATCTCAGATGCAGTGGTGAATGCCCCTGGAATATGTCAACTGAAACCATGTGCATTGTTCACTGCATAAAAGCCAGGCGGTTAGCCTGAATAAAGCATTCCTGTTATACCCTTCATCTAGTTTAGCTTTTTTGATGTTTGGGTACCTGTCTACTTTGCTGGGAGAATATACTTGGTGGCTCTAATTCGTCTGGAGAAACGTTCAAATCAATACCTGCGAGCTATAATCACTCAGGATCTAGCAGTTTGGGAGAAAATAGGTGAACGGGTACCTGCAATACCAGCGTGCGTTACAATTGGTGGCAATCCTATCCGGAATGGACGTCCCGAACTAAAGGAGAAGTGAATGGCTCAGCAATACGAACTACTGAAATGATCTACATTGAAAGACTTACTGGAAGCTCGAGGCATAGTGGCAAGTAATCAGACAAAAGCCACGTTAATCGCCGAATTGATACAGAGCGACAGAGCCAGTAACATGGAAATGGAGCACCTGGAGGAAACAGAACTTCAAAAGGACGTGAGATGGATGCTCAGTATGTTGGGTGCCAATCCTTCGCAGGACGCTGCCATACAAGTCATGGCACAAGCAGGGGAGGCGCAGAGAGATCGTGAGGCAAGAGTAAGATCGCTGCAAGGGGATTTGCTAGCATCCCCAGGAGGTACAAATGGGCAACCACGGAAGGTGAACTATGCTGCCTTCAAAGCATTTACTGATAGTGAAATGGATATCGACAGCTATCTGCAAGACTTTGAGTGTCAGTGTGCTTTGAAGGGGCTAGACACAACAAATTGGGCTGTGGTTCTCAGCAGCAAACTCTCAGGACGGGCAGTGGAGGCTTACAGAGCTGTAATCACTCAGGCTCTAGCAGTTTGGGAGAAAATAGATGAACGGTTACCTGCAATACCAGCGTGCGTTACAGGCGCCTTTTCACCATGTGCCTTTTTTGGAGCTTATATGCTATGTATGGTATATAAATGATAGTGTATTGTGTAAACACAACTTTATTCAGCAAAATAGGAGTTTGAGTGGCATAATGGGTTAGTGTTAGTGGATTTAATGCTATAACGTGCAGACACACTGACACACAAATACAGACAATAAAATACATGCAGACACACTTACACACAAATACAGACAATGACACACATGCAGACACACTGACACACAAATACAGACAATGACACATGCAGACACACTGACACACAAATACAGACAATGACACATGCAGACACACTGACTTTAATGATGACTTCTGTAGCTAAATCAATTGGAAATATTTTTCAACAGTAATGAAACATCTGGGAAGCTTATTAAATTGAGGCCTGCTTGGAAAAGATTTAACAAAGAGGGCTTGACTTAATATATACATTTTTCAGATGATTTATTATATTTGGATAAACTTTTGAAATTATTTAATATTTTAAAATATATATATATTAATTGTACACAACATATATAATTTATTATACACCGTTATCATCAACATCAGTATTTTACAAGACATATATCCAATTATCCATGACATACTTCACTCATATAAAAAAATATAGAAACAATGTGAAGGATGGGGAAAAGGATAAATAAAGGGAAATTGAAAGGGGGAAAAGGAGGAAACTGGGGCTGGATAATCTGAATGGTTAATCATCATGACTTATTTAGAAACTTGAACTCACAATTGATTGTTATTTTATCTGCTTGTTTTTGTTACGGTAGGCATTATTGATAATCTCGACTGATGGGAACAGCTGTCG